AGTTCGATGTTACAACTGCAAAAGATATGGGCACATAAAGGCAGACTATTGGTACAATAATCAGAGAGTCAATTTTGCTGAGAATGAAGTATCGACGAATGTTGGAGATAGTAAGCTTTTTATGGCTCATGTAGAAACTAACCAAAAGCTAAGTGATATCTAGTTTGTAGATGGTAGTTGCTCAAGTCACATGACAGGCACAAAATCCATCTTCAAAGAACTTGATGAGGCAGAAAAGATGAAGGTACAACTTGGAAACAATAAGGATCTACAAATTGAAGGCAAAGGTACGGTTGGTATTGAAACTAGCCATGGTAAACTCAAGCTCCTTCATAATGTTCAATTTGTACCGGATTTAGGATACAATTTATTGAGTGTTGGACAACTAATGACTAGTGGATATTCTATAATATTTAATGATAAGGCTTGTATGATCAAAGATAAGCAGACAAATCAAGAGATGGTCTGGGTTAAGATGACCTAAAGCAAAGTGTTCCCATTGGAAGTCTCAAATATGTGAAGTTCTGTTCTTGCTGCTCAAAGAAAAGATGACTCGAAGTTGTGGCACTTGCGATATAGGCATCTCAACATCAAGGGTTTGTCATTGCTAAATCATAGAGGTATGGTTCTTGGGCTATTGAAAATTGTCTCTATTGATTTATGCGAATGGTGCATTTATGGAAAACAAACCCGGAAGTCTCTTCCTAGTGGGAAGGCATGGAGAGCCTCTAAGTGTCTTAAATTGGTTCATGCTGATTTATGTGGGCCTATGCAAACTAAGTCTATTGGTGGGAGTCGTTATTTCTTGCTTTTTACTGATGATTATAGTCACATGAGTTGGGTATATTTTTTGGAAAACAAGTCAGAGACTTTTGAGAATTCAGGCACTACAAGGCTAAGGTAGAAAAGCAAAGTGGAAGATTTATAAAATCCCTTCGTAGCGACAGAGGTGGAGAATTCTTGTCTAATGAGTTCAAGCTTTTTTGTGAAGAAAATGACATTCATAACAACTCCTTACATTCTGGAACAAAACGGTGTCATCGAGAGGAAGAATCAGACTGTTGTGGAGATGGCGAGAAGCATGTTACACACAAAGGGGTTTCCGAATCAATTTTGGGCAGAGGCAATAGCGACATCTATTTATTTATTGAACATATCTCCAACAAAGGCGGTCATGAATCAAACCCCATATGAAGCTTGGCATGGAAGGAAATTAGCTGTAAGTCATTTAAGAGTTTTTGGTTGTATTTCTTATGCTTTGGTACATTCTCAAGTTCGTCAAAAACTTGATGAAAAAAGTCTGAAAAGTGTATTTTCATTGGTTATTGTACTCAGTCCGAAGCATATAGATTATATAACCCTCTCAATGACAAAATTCTAATAATAAGGGATGTAGTATTTGATGAAAATACGAGTTGGGATTGGAAGAAAAATGAAGAAAATTTGCAGCAACAAGTTCCTTTGGTAAATGAAGAATTGGCAAATGAAGATCCACAATCGATTTCATCAAGCTCTGATGGATGCTCTACCAGTTCACCAAATTCAACACCTTCAACAAGTCCCCCATTGTCGCCTCAAAGTTTAAACTCTACAAGATCATCGAACGAATCACCGTCAAGAAAGTTTAGATCATTGTCTGACATTTATGAATCTTGTTAGTTTGCTTTGATGATTTCAGATCTATGTGCTATGAAGAAGCAACAGAAAAGAAAGAATGACAAAAAGCGATGGTGGAAGAATTGGCATCGATCGAGAAGAATGCAACTTGGGAGATGGTGAACTTACTGAAAGACAAAAGTGCAATTGGCTTGAAGTGGGTGTTCAAGACAAAGTTCACCACAGATGGAAGCATCCAGAAGCACAAAGCACGGCTTGTGGAGAAAGGATATGTGCAGAAACACGATATTGACTTTGAAGAATCTTTTTCTCCGGTAGCTCGGTTTGAAACTGTGAGAATAGTTCTAGCATTGGCGGCACAACTGCAGTGGCCGGTTATCAGTTTAATGTAAAGTCCATATTCCTAAATGGAGATTTACAAGAAGAGGTCTATGTGGTGCAACTAGAAGGTTTCATAGAAAAACGCAAAGAAGAGAAGGTGTACAAGTTGAAGAAGGCATTGTACGGGTTGAAGCAAGCTCCTCGGGTGTGGTATAGCAGGATTGATGGTTATTTTCAACAAAATGGGTTCATAAGAAGTGCAAACGAGCCGACCTTGTATGTGAAAAAGGGAGGTAAAAATGACTCATCATTATTTGTCTTTACGTTGATGATATCATTTATACTAGTTCCTCTGGATCCCTTATCGCTGAATTTAAGTCACATATGAAGAATGAGTTCGAGATGTCAGATATGTGCTTATTGCATTTCTTTCTTGGTCTTGAAGTACATCAAGTTGAAGGAGGAATTTTCATCTCGCAAAGAAAGTATGCCAAGGATCTTATCAACAAGTTCGGTATGCTTAATTGCAAGCCTGCAATTACACCGATGAATATGAATGAAAAATTGCAGTAGGAAGATGGAGCTGATATGACGGATGCTACAAAATTCAGGAGTCTCATTGGAGGCTTAATTTATCTTACCCACACTCGACCCGATATTGCATTTTTTGTTGGTATTATTTCCAGGTTTATGTAGCACCCATCAAAGAATTACTTTGGAGCAGCGAAGCGGGTTCTTCGATACATTGCTGGAGCAATGGAGAATGGAATTTGGTACTCTAAGGTATCCAATGTCAAGCATGCGGATTCACAAACAGCGACTGGGCGAGTTCTTTGGATGATATGCGGAGCGTATCAGCAAATGTGTGTACTCTAGGATCGAGAGTATTCACCTGGAGTTCGAAGAAACAAACCACGGCAGCATTGTCGTCTTCGGCAAAGTACGTCGCAGCAACTTCGGCCACATGTCAAGCAATTTGGCTAAGAAGAATATTAGTCGAGCTCAACAGAAGCAAGAGGGAGTAACGAAGATATTCTACGACAACAAAGCAACGATTTCAATGACGAAGAATCCAACATTTCATAGTAGAACGAAGCACATTGATATTCGTTTCCATTTCATCCATGATTTGATTACTAAGGGTGAGATTGCTCTGAAGTATTGTAGCACGCACGAACAATAGGCCGACATACTTACGAAGTCTTTGTCAAATGAGAAATTCTAATACTTTAGAGTGTTGCTTGGAGTTTGCGAATTTGAATCAAGAGGGAGTATTGAAGGAATGATTCAAACTCAGTGGCACCAATTATGGTGACACTAAGGAAGTGAGATAATGGAGTAGTTCAAATGTAACTTAGTGGCACCAATTATGGTAGCACTAAGGAAGTGGGATAATGGAATAATGGCCTCCAAATTTAAAGCAGCATTATCTTAGTTGAGTAGTGGTCTAATTAGTGGGCATGAACATGCTAACTTTGGTATCGTTGTAAGCCTATATAAAGACACAATATCATCCTTTGTCAATGAATCAAACTAAGCATTTGGTAGTTTCTTCATATTAGTTTGTCTATCTACTTAGCTTTTGCATATAGTTCCATTGTCTGTTCCCAACACTATGAAGGGTGTGGAGATGTCAAATTTGTGCCAGGTGAGACATGTTGTGGAAGTTGTGAAGTATATTATGAAGAAGAATGAGTTTCAACTATGTGTTGATTGCAATGAGAATAGACTTGTGAGATGCCTCATATGACGATCTCAAAAAGTTGTTTTTTTTTCTTTTTTCATTGTTCTGAAACTAGGTTCTCCCTCTCTCCGATGAGAGCGATGATCAGTGGTGGGCAACGACGAACAGGCGGTGACAATAATGGTCGCGGTTGGGACGGTGACAATAATGGTCGCGACTGGGATGGAGGTGATGGTGGGAGGAAGATGAGAACCAAAGAGGAAGGAGAGTGGAGAAAGAAAGTGAGAGGAAGAAGAATATGTAAAAAGAATTTTTTTTACAACTAATCTAAAAATACCAAATTAGAAAAAAATCTAGTCACCTATTAATTGCCGCGTCATTTTCTATCAAGTCAACTCCAGTCAAATAATACTCGTGAACCATTTAGAACAATTTTTCAAATTATAGGCACAAAAAACGTCTACTTTGAAAACTTTAGGAATCAAATACACCTACCAATGGTTCATTTTGAAAATTTAGGGGCAAAATGGACACCTACTTCAAACCCCAAAAACGAAAAAGAGTATCTTTTTTACATATATATTTTCTTTATCAAAATTTTTTATTTTTTATTTTATAATTAACATAAATTAATGTACTCATTCACTAATAAATAACTCTATGCAATTAAGTATCACATTTACATATAAAATAACTTCAATTAAATTGTATAATACCTCTATTTATTTGGTTGATAGATTATCTTAAAATTGATAGTAATTATACATGTAAAAAAAATTCATATTCATGTAGACCAATATTATTTCTCCCAATTATTTCTTTGATCTTATAATATAAAAATATAATCCAATAAAAATGACATCAATAATATAATTTTCTTTTGAGAACAAGTTGAAGTTAAATTTGGTATTAATGCTTAATATTAAATATTTTATATAAAAATCTCAGATTAATTAAATTAATGTCCTCTGCACCATAATACTTACGTATTTAACCTAAACTAAATTGATAGAAAATCTAATAGATTAGATCATTTTGATTCCATTAGTAACAAGATTCAGAATATCACACATTGATCAATCAAAGAGAGATTCAACAACTAAAAGAAAGATCGATTCTTTGAGATCCTTTGTTTCTTCAAATGAAGAGCATAGATAGAATCAGACCGATTCCCTAAGACATAAAACTATATAATTTTTTAACATTCACAAGTACAAATCCTCAAAAATAAACATAAATATTTTTTTTTTGATACCCATGAGTGTTCGGGCAGCTTATGTGCACCTCGACTAATATTACGGGGCAACTGCCTGATCCTCCAACATTTGGTGTCGGAAAACATATAGAAATTACTCATTTCTAAGGTAGGTGGTCGTTATTTAAAATAAACATAACTGTTCAAATATTTTTATATATTTTCTTACAAAACAAATATGGCTATCTAAAGATGCTTGGAAATACATCTAAAATTTCGGTATTTGAGATGCCGGACATCTAAGACCCCGGTCCTTATTTTATTCCTAAAACAATCATGCCTTGAATATATCAAGGAATATGATATATTTAACATCTACTATTTGTCAAACATGTACCTCTATACTGTTTCCCTATAGACTTTTATCGGCTCGACTTGGCTCGGCTCGACTACGCCATCCACTCCTACCTCTCACCCTTGCACATCCCATGTAATCAGATGCAACAGTGAAACTAACAGAAACAAGTAGAAAGGCACCAAAACAACAGAAGATTGAGACTTTTTTGAGTCTTCGCCGGGGCTGTATGGACGTATAAATGCAGAGTTCATCTGCCATACTGTGATGGAGGCAGTGACGTTGGTATCCTTAGCATTGTTGAATACGAATAGTCGAGCGTCATTGTAGATCGCTTTCGTCGGATAAACTCTTGATGTGATGCAACTTCTCCCTCCTTGAGCAAAACTTTCCACAACTGAATGATCAACCTACACAGTAAGTGTCAATGTCTAGTCTTTTGAAGCAACTGATATGTTTATATGTGAATGAATGAAAGAAGACACTCTTGTCTTAGAAATTACCAGGATTCTTAAAGACAACTTTTCATCCTCTAGTACTGGAACAGAACTTCCATAGATCGGCTTGAAAACGTCGTTTGCCACCGATGATCTGAAGCGTGACAATGGCAACATTTAGCGTGTTTATTCATTTATTTCTTTTTTAGTACATGGAATTGGAGGACTAGTTGCTACCTTGATTCATCAGCGCAGAAGCAAGTCTTGAGAGTACCATTTTGGCCTTTTCCAACATAGAAGTAGATGGGAGTATGCTCGGTGAGGCTCTCATCTGCAAGTACCAAAAGACCAAACGGCCCCAATGCGCCACGCTTGGCTGCTCCACCTCTTGTTTGGCAGCTGAATTCGATATCGCTTYCGACTACCTTTGCCACTGCCTCCTCATCCAACTCGAACTCGGCCAATATGTCTAGCTGTTGGGAGTTTCAAACTAGTTGTAAGCAAGAAATTGCATTTCTCACTTTGGCAAATATTGAAGATGTGATGGAAAACAAACCTGAGTTGCTTTACCAACATCAAGGGGCACCACTGATCCTGCCTGCACCAACAAATTATTGAAGGTATCGTTTCTCTGTCTCAAATTTTCAACCTCCTCCACTGGCCATTGAAGTAAATTGGTGCCCGTTTTCTTATCAAACAAAATAGTTCTTGGAATACTCTGCAAGTGTAAAACATCACATTACAATGCTTTGAACAATGAAGATATCAGATAACCTCGGAACTAGGCAGAGAATCAAGAAACAGCAGGCGGGTTACCTGTACTGATGCCCATCCCTTTTGCACATCAGAAACTTCGCTATCAGACTCTCCGATCCAACCCCACAAAAGTCTCCTTCTTTTATGTTGGTCGTAGAAACTCTTTGACGCGTACAATATACCGTAGTCGTATCTCAAGCCAATCCCAACATCAATTGTGGGATCATCAGGAACCCAAGTACCAGTCTTCTCATCATAGGTTCCAAGCGAATAGTAATCGTGTCGATCATCGTCGAGGCTCGTCTTGACGACATGCTTCACGGCAGGTCCATTAACCGAAGTATCCAAGCCAATCTCCTCTGTTTTCGAAACAGGAAAGAAGTCCACACATTCCCACATTCCAGTGCCAGGAACAGCACAAAGCAGATTGTCCAACAACTGAAAATTTTCAAAGTCCTCTGTTTCATACATCAAAGAGATCCCGGTTTGATTGATCTTTGACCCAATAGCAAACCGCCATTTCCCTTCGGAGGTGAGCCACGCGGTCGTAGGGTCACGGAAGTCCCTGAAATCAATGCCAGGAGGGGGCAGAATAACTGGATTGCCTGGGTATTTGATCCAATCGACGAGCAAAGGATCAGATAAGTTGGCTGGATATGCCAGGTTTTGAACTTGGACAGACTCTTGTGTGGAGCCAGTGTAGAGCATCATGATTCGGCCATCAGGTAGAATGGTGGCAGAACCAGTCCAAACACCACTAATGTCAAACCATTGATCTGCAACAATGGCCAAAGGAAGATGAAGCCAATGAATCATATCTCTCGACACTGCATGGCCCCAAGAAATGTCTCCCCACACTGCATCATATGGATTGTACTGGTAGAAGAAATGGTACCACCCCTTGTGATATAATGGACCTGTTACATTTTCAAAGCCTCACAAAAGTTCAAAAGGAGGAAAAATCTACAATGTGGCTTGTCCTCTAATAGGATGTAGGTTTAAAATATGTCTCTCCTTACAAGTTTTCAATACAGTTCTAAAAATTCTACTCGGTGTAGAATCATCAGTCACATAAGTCTAATCCTCTCGAATAATTTAATCCAAAATGAGGGGAAAAAAAGGACAATTTTGAATGATAAGGAAAAGAAAGATGTCTTACCGTTAGGATCTAAGCCAGAGAGAAGTGGATTCCCCAATCAGCACAATCAGAAGTACAACCCAAAAAAAAAAAACAAAAATTAGATTTCATCAATCAATATAACATTCCCTATCCCTGCTCATTGAAGAATAACTTGTCTATTTAATGAACAGTTTTTTGCATTATGGTTATGTTCAAGTAAATCTGGTTTTCAGAGGTGGAATTTGAAAAGTCAAAACGGAATCAGTTGCATCCCACTTTTTGTCTTTGTTTTTTTCTTTGGAAGATTCAGAATGGTTCAACAACCAAATCAGACCATATAAAAGTAAAAATTTAGAAAAAATGAACAAACAAGCAATTTAGATCCTCGAAGGAAGTGGGAAAAGAAAATTACCATTCATCCAATTCTCCTCTGGCTGGAAATGGAATGCCGTTCTCTGCCACATCAACATGCTATGGTTCCAAGGAAACGGAGAAATATTCTGGCCCACAAATTGCCGGTTGGCCTTTTCCGACACGCCGGCCGACACCCCACGTGACGCCGGACACACCATCTCCGGCGGCTCCGAGCTCGACGATCCTTCCAATTTCGCATAAAAAACGACACCATTCTGACCAATAACGGCGATTAATAACCCAACCAAGAGCAACCCAGATGCGATCAAGACGGCCTCCTTAATGGGTCGCCGGCGAATCACCGGCGAATCGACGGTTTGGGCAGGTTCATCAGGGAGGGGACTGTAAACGGGGAGACTTCCCGGTGGGTCACCGGAACCAAAGAAAGCAGAAAAGGGATTCAAATTCACCATATGATTAAGCTTTCGTGATTAATCTTAATCACCTTTTAAAAATTAATACATACAAAACTCGCAAAAAGAGAAGAGAGAAACAGGGGAAGAAAAAGCTAAAGATGGGAGCGATTCATTCAAGTGGAGGGGTGTTCTTTTATTGTTGTAATGTGTAGGGGAGAGAGAAATTAGGCAAAGGGAACGAAACCAAACCAAACGTGGGGCTTAGACTAAAATGGAAGGAGGATTTCACTCTCTTTTCCATGTGATGTTCATGTTCATTGGTTTTTTTAGTTTAATTTGTTAGTGCTGTGTAATTAAATCAACCCCATGTTTTTAGTCTCTTTTTTCTCTCGTGCTTTCAAAGCAAACATCAAGTAAGTCGACCCATGTGTTAACGGACCAATGGAAATCCAACCATCTGTAGTGTGGACAGGTCGATATTTCTATTCATCATTACGTGTCTATAAGCATTGAATTCGACATCAGTAAATTAATAATAAAATTTTTAACTGATTTGAAAAATGTAAAATGTTTATTTATTAATTTAAATATTTTTATTAATTATTTTAAAATAACGTTTTCATAAATATTAATCAAACTTCTATTTTTTGTCAATATTTTCATAAAATTGAGACTTCGATATTTCGACATCGACATCGACATCAACATTTAAGCGTTGCATAAATATGTTTCATCATATTTTTGTTGTTTTATTTAAATATTATGCTACCACCAAAGTAGGGGAAGATGTTGAAATCTAAGAATTATATAAAGGGGATTTGTAATGGGTAGCATGTAAGTTTTCTATATTTAACAAAATAGCATGCCTTTTTTATATTTTCAGATATAGCATTTTTTTGAAAATCCTGATTTTAAAATTTTCAGTATTCCTAAATTACCCTTTTTAGTTATCGATTCGTTATTATATATTAAATATATATCACATATATATCAGTAGTATATCTGACAACATTAATATATCAGAAGTAAATCAATAGTATATTAGAAGTCAATCAGTTCTATATCAGTTGTATAATATAAATCACTATTTTACCTGCTTTAACCCTTTGTCTTGTATTTTTTTTGATCAATTAGAAATTAGTAGGTATTGGCATGCATGGAAAATGAGAAAA